TGTTTTGTACAGAAAATGTTTTTTTTTAAACAAAAATGTACTATTCCATTTTGTTAGGGTACATTTGATCACTTTGAGTTGTGAATTTACTTTTCCAAATGTAAAAACCATTACCTTAAAGCTGGGTTAGTGTAGGTAAATTCACAACGTAATATATTTTATTTAATAATTTAATATTAAACTTGACCTGCAAAATGTATACAACCTAAATATTTTTTATTTAGTGTGGTCTTTTAAAGATCCAAGTGGTACCTGACTTATGGAAATTCCCCAGCAACAGGAATGAGTAAAGCTGGGGACACGACTAAACAGACGTTTTTTTTAGACTAAGAAATTTTTGATAATTGCGTACACCTATATTTGAAACAAACATTATATATGGATTTACATATCAAGGCAAAATATATATGTTCTTTTTTAAAAGATCTTAATCAAGCAATTAGTGCTATTTTTGAGTGTTTTTAAAATGTGGATTTTGTCAATATTTTATCTAGCTTAAATTTGCAATAAGAAAATTTGTGAAGTATTTATAAAGGCATTTTAATACTTATTAAAACATATAAAGTCCCAGGGACAGAAATGGCACACATTCTGTGGAATGGCTCATAGCAGATTTGTTACAATCATAGTGTTGCTTGTAAAAGAAAATACATGTATGTTAGTAGGCTGGGCTTCTAAAAGTGTAGTGTCATTGTGACAACTTTTGTTTTTTTCTTTCAGAGGGTCAATTTTTCTCATGTGAAATATTGGAAGTTAATCCGGTGAGGCCAGCGTGGGTCACCTGTACTTACACAAGCACTAATCGGATCAAAACCAAGAAAAAATATATGCTATTAGGTATAACTGAGCCTGGTCTTGGTCGGGTCACATGATTGCTTCAACACATTGCAGTACAAAAGTAGTAGTATCTGCATACAGGCTTACTTCTATCAATTTATAGTGCACTTTTAATCTTATCGTTTATTAAATCAATTTATTTTCGACCAATCAGATGTGATAAATTACATTTTTTTTTAGTTTGATCACTTAAGACAAAAAACAAGAGATTGACTTCAAAACATCATGTCTAAGTTGCATGCTGGGAATCCAAGCAAGAGGCTTAAAAGGCACAGGACTAATGCACTGCACACTTGCTCTAAAGCCATTAGGACGGTCTGCGTAAAATCACATTTCTAAAGGCAGGTTATTGATTGTTGATGTCCCGCCCGGCTCCATCATCTGTTTGGTACATCACATAACTTATGCATTAAAGAGATAATTTCTCCAAAGGTGAAAATTTTGTCACTAAATGATGCACTCTAACGTTGGAGACTTCACATCTGTTAAGAAAAAGAAAGAATTGTTTAAAGTAAGACTGCAACTAAACTATCCATTGAATTCTCCATCATTTTAAAACACAGAAAACAGCGATAATGCTGTTTATTTTACCTCTATGATTAGGCACCACATGCTGAGAATATTGGCATTTACAGAAGTGCATGAGCTTATGATACTGTACAGCACATCCCCACAGCAGCTGTTCAGAGGAGTTAATCCTAGCCTTGACATCAACAAGATGGCCTTTTGATTCCTCCTCTGTGTTCAACTGAGGCCATGTTCACACACAAGAACATTGATTCATGCTGAGGTTTGAAGTGTTTGATTATTCCACTGGGTGTCAATGAAAACATCTGTAGATTTGTTGCGTGCCCTCAATTCTTCCCATCAATGTTTTGTGTCATAGAATTAGCCATTAGCTTTAGCCGCAGAGAAAGTAAAACATTATTTATATGGAGTTCAAAGCTTAGCAGGTTATTTATGTTACATGTTAAATAAAGTGTACAAAACGTGTACAACAGTCACTATTAACTTTGTTTCTAAAGTTGAGTCCGGTATTGTCTAAGTGTCTTTCTGTTCTTACTGATTTGGGGGAGTTCTATGGGGATTATTTGCAGATTAGAACATTCAAAATTAATATTTAGTTTCTGTTAAGGTCAAGCGGTTCCACTAATGCATGGCTCACATACCTGGCCATGAACAGGTAGCCAGGCCATCACCGGTGATTCTTATGTTCATTGCTAAGTTGACCCAAAGATGCCTCTACCTACAGAATGGGTAAGCCCCACCCACTGAACTTGGATTTCATTGTTTGTTCTCCCTCACCCTAACCCTAACCCTAAAGGCCTCTACCTATTAGTCCAAAATTAGATTCACACAAACTATTCTAAATGCTGAAATGAAAACTAAATGCTGTTTTCCCTTAGGCCTGAATGTGTGAGTGAATGTTGCCCTGCGATGGACTGGCGACCTGTCCATCATGTACCTGAATGTGCCAGACTTCGGTGACCCCAAAAGGGAATAAGCGGGCTGGAAAATTAATAATATAATATAATATAATATAATATAATATAATATAATATAATATAATATAATATAATATAATATAATATCCATAAAATGGTAAATAACTTGTAAGAACTGTAGAAAAAACCTAAATTAAAAGTTTATAATCTAAAATATAATGTATTGATAATGATGTCAAAATGTATGTAAAATGTTTTCCTCCGCTTTTAAACTGCCGTTATTTTCCCGGAAGTCTCTCGCATATACTTTAGAAATCCTGGCTTGTGTTTGTTTACCAAAATACGGACTGCCTAACTTTATTCCGAACTTTTAGGAAGTGTAAATCCCGATTATAGAAGTCTCATGCAGTTTTAAGAGCAATGTTTATTTTGTTTTGGGCGCTCAAATCTTCTTTATGTTGAACATTGATTCGCTGAGGACAGGTTTCCTCTTGGGTCACGCGCTCTGTTACCGTTAATGCGCGTCCGCGAACCTAACGTCGTTCTTAAAAAAAAAAAAACCTGAACTCAAAAAAAAAAAAGAGACTCGGTTATGCTCCAGGGGGAAATCAAAAATCACTCTGCGTTCAGCTAAATTTGGTGTGGGTGCCAGGCATCCCTCCCTCTCCTCTCGTCTTTCTCCAGTGCTCACTTTCATCCCCACCGGGCGCCGTGAAGCACGTGCCGGTTACGCGCTTACTCCGTACACACGGATGCGCGTTTCGGACTTCTCTACATTTCACGGACTTTTGGGGCTGTTGTGAAATGACCGGACTCCAGACTTGACTATAATTCATCTCTGACGGACCAGAGTAACGGACGAGGCTCGCGCTCCGGAGGGCTAACCGGCATTCCGTTTACTTCTTAACATTTGTGCTGTTAACTTAGACACTGTTTGAGAGGTAAACTCGAGTCAGGGGGATGCTTTCAGCTGTTTTGGGTGCGTTCAGAAACTTTTGGGTAATTAATGCGCTCCTCAAAGTCTCACAATGAAGTATTCAGTCAAGTTATGACAAATTGAGCTTAATAATGTTGGGTCTGGGCTGTAATGGACGAATATGAAGAATTGTACTGCTTTTACGAGTCTCTTTTGCTCTCTCTTGGATGATGGTGTGTTTTTAAAGGGACTAAATGGCCTTGAGGTTGAATGGTAATGGTCTTATCGCATATAATTTTGGTGATCAATAATGAAGATCATGGAGAATCCATCTGGAGCGATGGTGTTTATTAATGCTTTTCTGTTCAGTTGTTTTTAAGATTAAATTTAGTATTAGTAACAGAATGGAAAGCAAGTTCACAGACAAAGTTAATGCTAATGTTGTTATGGATGTTTTTATGGAGTTTTTGGCCTGAGACCTCATGATAACAGTTTTAGCACATACATTAGACAAATGACCTTTATATAATTCGACAAACTCTACAAATCACCCAAGTTTTTCAGTGGTTAAATTCGTGCTGCACTATTTTACCTGCTTACGCATAAGAATGCTTACCAGTCCTTCAAATAACGGTGGCATCAGGATGCTGGTTCCCCCTGGGACTGGTGATGACCGCCGGGTCGAGTTTGTGGCTCTCACTGCTGTTCATACCGAAAGAAGCGAACCCTCGACCCCAGAGCGTGGGCACCCATCACACCGCACTGGTCTCCTGGGCACACCGCTGCCTGTGCCCCCTGGTCCCCGTGCCAGCCCTTCAGCGTCTAGCAAACGGTACAGAAAACTGCAGAACTGCCTGTATAATGTGCTGGAGAGACCCAGAGGATGGGCCTTCATCTATCACGCCTTCATGTAAGTCAGACCCTTCATTAACTACAAGAATGAACAATTCTTTTACTTCCTTTACCATGCCTTTATTGTAGTGACAGTACTAGACAGCTAGACTTTATAGCTAGTTATTTGTATGTTCTAGTATATTTTGGTCACGTCTTGACATAATATAAATTTATTTAATAATTTACACTTTAAGTTATTTAAGGATTTGCATCCTTTAAACACCACGTCACATCTGGAAGAGAATGGACTGGTTTAAATGAATCTGGAATGGTAGCTTAAAGAACGAATAATGTCTCATTGACATTCATTTATCTTGTTTTCGTGTACATTTTGAGTTTGAGTGAAGTCTTTTTTTGCTTTTCAACCTAACAGAACCTGTCAGCGTTATGGGATTTCAACAAATGGAGAAATAAATTAAAAGTCCATTTAATTGAACTATACCTTACCATTATTATTAATCATGCTATTAAGTAAAATAAGCTAACATGAGTTTCTTTGTCCCTTTCCATGGTTTTGGGGCATCTTGACATGTGGCGATTAGCAATAATATTTAAAAACATTAGTGTAATAATCTAAGAATGGATAGTCTTTCCGTTATATAACAAATGTTCTTTGTTGTTTACCTTCAAGGTACTCAATTCACTAAGGCAGAGGTCACCAAATTCGGTTGTGGAGAACGGGTGTCCTGCAGAGTTTAGCTACAATTATAATCAAACACACCTGAAGTAGCTAATTAAGGTCTTGCTAGGTAAACTAGAAACTTCCAGGCAGGCCTATTGAGGCAAGTTGGAGCTCAACTTTGTAGGACTCCAATTGGACTGAATTTGCTCTAGATTAGATCCCTGTGTTGCTTTCAGTTACACCCAACACTGCATCTGAATTTAGAATGAATTCCAACAAAGTTTAGTCTTTCCTGTGGCTCAGTTGGTAGAGCATTGCGCTAACAACGCAAAGGTTGTGGGTTCAAATGCCAGGGAAAGCAAGAACTGACAGAAAAAAAATATGTTCATTCAAATATAAGTCGTTTTGGATAAAAGTGTCTGCCAAATGCATGAATGTAAATGTCTAATCTAAAAATTTGCATTTTTATATTTTTTTAGGGATTCTTGCAAAATTCAGATGTATAAACAGGACTGAGACTTTTAATACGTTACTTACTTTTGAATTTAATTCCTACATCTAAAAAAAGAGAAAAATGCAAATACTTTATGCTAACTAGTCACTTTAAAAACTCCTAGTACCAGGATGGACCCCCTTTAGATAGTATTCTGAATGCAGTGGTTGTAACTCTAACACCTCCCTGGTGATTCCCCTTTGGCATCAGCAAGACATTCTGTTCACTTGAATTTTTCTATTTTTCAGACCACTCTCTGTTAACCCTAGAGAGGGTTGCAGGTGAAAATCTTACCAAATCAGCAGGTTTTGAAATAGAGTCCAGGTTGACTGACAACAACTATTCCCAGCTCAAATTCACTCAAATCACTCCTTTATTTCCTTATTTTGATGCTCAGTTGAACTTCGGCAAGTTTTCTCCATCACAGCTATATGCATAAATGCATTAAATGTTGAACTGAACAGCTTTATTCTTCATAACCATGTGACATCTGAGTGTGTAGTCCCATTGGTGCACATCTAAAACACGACATGACTATTACTTTCAATGAAAAAAACAAACATATTTTCAAAATTTTAAACATTATGGTGCAGTGTTCAGGGTCTACGTGTTGCTAAACCTATTCCAGCTGGGTTTTTTTAAGTAGATATGTACACTAACATGTTTCATGTGACTAAAAACTATTTTTTATTATGACTTCTTTTGTGAGATAATACATTGATGTTAAAGGGTTTGGAACAATTGATATTTAGAACAATTCAGCGCTCAAAATGTTTTGGTTTTATTACAAAACAGCCAGCAGAGAAGTGACCTGCGTCACAAATATAACTAACAAGTGAATATTGGTCCTCCCCTAGTGACGCGCCATAAATAAAGCACCAACTTCACTCATGCTAATACTATCAGGCACAGCTTGCTGGTTAGGTGGTGAAATCAGTAGGCCCTGAAACATCTTTCTTAAAGAGCTAGAGTTAAATTCATCACCTACTGATGTATTATTAAAATAAATGTTTGCAATGTAAAAAAGCATTGTTTAATGCTCTATGAGCTTACACAATAGTAATCTCATAAATGACTACAACGAAAGATTAATAAAGCCTGAAATGAATGGATTGTTGGATGTTTACCCATATTAGTTGATACATTAACTTAAATTACTTAATGAAACCTTGTTAGAAAGTGTTTTCGACTGATGAGGTTGCTTTTCTTTTGCATCCATGTTTGTATTTTCATTCTGAGCAAGGCTGTCAGTGATGAACGAGTGCAGCGAAAGCTTTAACGACCGTGAGGTATAATTTCACCCCACCTGCCTTGCTCTCACCTGGCTTACCTGCTGACTCCAGCGGTTTTCCTCTGAGCTGACCCTTCCAATGCACCCTATCATTTCAACACCAGCCCAGATTGATTTCCATCGCTCACAATTGGATTAAATTCTTGTGCTGCCTTCTTTCAACAAATCACATTTGCTTGAATGGGGGGTTGACATTTACAGATGTGTTGTGTGTGGCTCTAAACGTTAAAATGCCTCAGGAGGCTCTAATATGGCACATTATCGAATGTTTTATTCCATGAGTTGCCAGCTTAAGCAGCCAACTATGCAAGAAAAGATGCAGAGCATCCTCACTTTAACATTTGTTTGTTCCTAGTTGGGTTTTAGCCCATTTCTTCTTGGATTTTGGTACTGGCTGGTCCCTGGTTTGAAAGAACACACTGAAGGTTTCAGAGTTTGTGAGGCATATTAGCAAACTTAATATTTTTATGAACTGTGAAGAGAATACTGTTTTAAATGAATGTAATTTAAATGAATTGCATAACTATGACATTTCATTTAATGGCATCAGACAAAGAACTGAGAGATACAAAGGCCACTTTATTAGGTACACCTTGCTAGTACCGTTTGAACCCCATTTGCCTCTAAAACGTAATCCTTTGTGGCCTAGATTCAACAAGGTACTGGAAACATTTTGGCAGGATAGCATCATGAAGTTGCTGCAGATTCGTTAGAATCACATTCATGATACGAATCTCCCGTTCCACCACATTCAAAGGTGCTCTACTGGATTGAGATCTGGTCACCGTGGAGGTCATTTTAGTACAGTGATGCTCTTCTGCGTACCTCAATTGTATCGAGTGGTTATTTGAGTCACTTTGTATCGGCTCAAACCAGTCTGGCCATTCTCCTATGACCTCTGGCATCAAGAAGGCATGTTTTAAACACATTTAATTACATTGAGTACACTTTTCCTTTTTAAAACTCACAATGCACTCATGGTGCAATATCAGCAGAAAACACACTCTTCATATTTTCTAGACTGATATTATGAACTTTACTCCATTCTGGAGTTACAATCAATGAACTTTGCTTGTGCCAAAGATAGGATGAAGCTTTTGCTTAAAGTCCCTAGTGAGGTAACTTCCTGTGACAAGCATTTGATCAAGCATGCTATCATCCCTTTTTTCCTACAAAAACAAAACTTCTAGTGGTTAAACGTATGTGTTTATCCTTGGAACAACTAGTACAGCTACAAACTGAGTTCAAAAACCACTGATACTGACACTTCTTATGTTGTGAAAATAAACCATCCGTATATCATCCGTATTTTGCTTTTCAGGCATTCTAGCCATTTTTTGTACACTTTTGCAAAATAATTTTTTTAACGCTAATGTAGTGAAACTTAAAAGATGTTTATCATTCTTGCGATGCCTCTCTTCTGTGAATCACAGCAAGCAGATATTAGCAAGAGCTGTCAAGTCAAGGTTGTGACTCTCAGGTTTCAGAAACACCCTTGTCTGATTCTCACAGCTTTTGTTTGAGCCTGGCATTCTGGCATGTGGATAATGCCAATCCTGCCAATGTCCAGCATTCATTTCTGGATTTACCCCATACAGTATGTCATCCCGAACAACTTAATGACATGGACATCAATCTAACTACTGTAAAAGCTATCAGACCAGATCAACATGGCTAATACAGCTTTAAGAACTAAACCAGGCAATTATTTATTTTCTATTTAGCAATTTTAGCTATTTAAAAAGGCTTTTGGACCTGTTTTCCATTACATTTAATCTGTTATGTTAATTCTTTTTAAGTACTGAATGGAACGTAACTGCATGTTTACTTCCCTTAAAGCTGTTAGAATGTTGATTTATTGAAGGCAAACAGAAAATGCACTTTTATTTTGCATATTCATTCAAAAACAAAGAATGCTAAATATTTCTATTGAACTGTAATTTACAATTCATTCCAATTTCTTTATTGATTTTTAAACTGGAATATTTAAAGATAGTTAAATCACAGGTGTAGAATATTTATTTAACAAAAAAGTGTTTCTTATTTCAAGAGTATCATGTATTTTTCTGTCCAGTAATTAGCTCATGCAAAGTATCCTTTTCTTTGAACCTTTTATATTGTGCTGTATTCCATAATTTAGTTACAGGTAAACTAGATTTTTTCCCCCACTGACCATTTTAAATATAGCCATTGAGGCTTCCGGGACTGGTAGTCCCCTGGTCCCTAAAATTAAATATAAACATGTAATAATAAAATTTTCACATTCATATTGTTCCACATTTCTTAGATCAGGGATTCTGTGTTATCAGCAGTGCAGCATGCCAGAGGAAATAAATAAGCATGTTGATCATTAAACCGAGGCAGAATGTCTTGATTAGTCAGTTAACTTTGACCTGAAAGAACAAAACCTCAAATTTTTATATGTTGAGAAAAAGATGTAAACAACCCGAAAAATTATTAGATTCGAACAGGAGAGTTTCGGTTTCAAGCTTGGTAAGGTTTTCTTTTCAGGCAGGGTTAGCTTGATGGTCCTGTGGAGTGTTTTCCCACTTTTCGGACAGTCAAGTTTTTAATAGAGTGAATGTATGAGGATGGAGGGGAGCCTGGTGGTGCGGTGGGTTTCTCTGGTTTTCCCAACAAGACCAAAACATTCAGGTTTCCGGCTTCCCCCCTGGAGATAGGCACCAGCAGACCCCGGTGACCTTGAAAAGGAAGAAGTGGGTAAAGAAAATGAATGAATGCCTGTAAGATGATGTGTATTCTTTTAACAAGCATCAGTTGTGAGTGTTGCAAAGAGGAGAAATTGCTAAAAATTGTATTTGCAAATTAACTGCAAATACAAGGAAAAATCGATACAATTTGCAAACCTGGCATTTTACTAGACCGGAATATTTGGACGTAGATGTCCTGAAAAAAGATCTTGGAATGGGTTAATGGACTGCTCTGATGCTGCACCATTTTCGATTCATTGCCATATATTCTCACATTATTGTTAACCTTAGTTTTACGTGAATAGGTGTTAGCGCATGTGCATGGTTTCTTGAAGACCAATATGACTGAAAATGAAGGAAGTCCTGGTTTGAAATTAGCAACTCTTATGTCATGTTCCACAATCTGTTTTAGCATCTAAAAGAATTGAAAGAGACCACAAGTGACCACAACAGGACACTCGGGTAAAAGGTGTGCACAATGCTCTGAAAGCACATGTTGAGGTGTTTGTGTCCGAGACGCTTGCTAATGTTCATATCAGATGTATCCAGGCTCAGAGAGAGAGAGAGAGTGAGAGGAAACCAGCTGCTGTTGCTGAAGCACATTCGTCAACAGTTCGACCTCTGACGCTCGTGAAGCCTCTGCACGCACAGCTGTGTGTGTGAATGTTTGTGTTTACAGGATTGCTTCGCTCCTTCTGAGCTCTGTTTGTACTTGATGTATACTTACACTTCCTGTCAGAGGCAAAGCTTACGAGCTAAAAGTGTTTGGACTGGTGTTTGTTTGGATGCTTCTTGATTAGTGACTTACTGTTCGGTGACAACCCAATACAAAGGAAATGATGATGCATTTGCTCGTTGTTATGAGT